TGAGTATAGAGACTATTTTACCTAAACTTTGTATAGCCCCTAACCTAGCACAATGCTCTTTGCACAAAATAAATGCTTAATTTTTTAAAATGTTTGTTGGATTCAAACAAAATATTGTTTCCTTTCCTGGAATGCAGTTCTTCTTCCCCTCTCCTATCTTGTTCTTCAAAGGTCCATCACAAATTTTACTTCCTCCATAACCTCAGGCAATATAAGAGTTCTCCTCTTCCTGAATGGCTTTAGTATTTACCATCTATACTATACATTTTGCTACCTTCTATATTTGGTACCTTACTATATTTAATCATCTTATAACAGAAAATAATGCTAATAAGAGCTCACATTTGAAAAGTTCTTTAGGGTTTGCAATGCACCTCAGTCAAAGTGAGACCTGGAAAAGACCTTAGCTTAAAAAGGCCAAAGTCTCCCAGTGCATCCTGGGCCATCTCCAGTCCCCCTGATCTCTATCTGGCCACTGGACTCAGATGGCTCTGGAGGAGAAAGGCTGGTGACCTTGCACAGCCCTCCCTCACTTAAATTCAATTCACTTGCAGGTCATGGCATCACTTCCCTGAGGTTATGGTCCTCTTTGAGAATGCAAGACAAATAACAGCAGCACCTCACATAATATTATCTCATTTAATCTTCATAACATTGTAAGGTAAATATTATTATCCTCATTTTACAGGTAAGGAAACTGAGGTCGAGAGGATTTGAATTCAGGTCTTTTTGACTCTAGATCCAGAGCCCTATCTACAATTCTTTAATATTTTTCAAATGTGTAAAATCTTATCTCCTCAAAGAACCTAACTTCATTGAAGGCAAGGAGAGTAACATATATAGGCTTCTGCATCCACTCTAACCCAAATACCAAGCCACAGGGCTAAACTCTTCACAGGTGTACAAATAGTTATTCTTCTCATTTTTAACACTAAAGTACTAATAGGAAAGCAAAGCAACAGGTCTTCTGCAAATTTAATAATTAAATATTAAACAAATTTGAGACCCCAAAAGTCATTTGATGTTCAAATCATTATATACTCCAAAGTTATATAGAGCATCATCTAACAAGAATTGCTGGGGGGGGGGGCAGCGCACAGCTAGGTGGTGCAGTGGATAGAGCACTGGCCTTGGAGTCAGAAGGACCTGAGTTCAAATCTGAATTCAGACACATAACACGTACTAGCTGTGTGACCCTGGGCAAGTCACTTAACCCCGACTGCCTTACCCCACCACCCCCCAAAAAAGAAAAAGAATTGAAGTATGAGGCTAGTTCCTGTGTCCCATCTGAATAACCCCAAATAATCACAACAGTTGTAAAGCTCAAATCTATTGTGTTTTAATAGTATAATGAATTGTGATATCCTGAAATCCCTAATTTAACTTCGTAAATATTTCCAGCGAGTTATCCAGTAGTGGTAATGGATTATGCCTAAATAACACCTCCCAAGTGGCTCAAACCAGTTCTTACCAAACAGGGGTAAAGGAAAATTAATTACTTCTACTATAGAAAGGACTAAAAATCCCTGGTATCATTTTTTCCAACTCTACACATAACTTAAAAACCAGAACTATAGCATTGTACTCCATGCATTGCGGACTGGGTTGGAAACAGATATTTTGTTAAATACTATCTTCCTGCTGAAAATAACAGAGCTATCACTTTATTTAACATGGCCAGGGCCTATTTACCAAGATCAGGTCTCCTGCCCAAAATTATGTGCAAGTGCCACATTTGTCTATCATTCTATCAGAAATGTTTTTTTTTGGGGGGGGGGCAGCTAGGTGACGCAGTGGATAGAGTTCAGGCCAGTACTCTGGCCTGAGTACTCAGGTACTCAGGAGTACCTGAGTTCAAATCCAGCCTCAGACACTTGACACTTACTAGCTGTGTGACCCTGGGCAAGTTATTTAACCCTGATTGCCTAAGCAAAAGAAAAAAAAAGTTTTTTTCTCTTTTTTTAAAATAAATACTAGAAAAGCAATTTATTATATAAAAAAAACAGAGAGATGTGAACTAAATGATAATACAATCGGATAGATTTATTACTGGCTGAACGGCCAGATTCAACATACAATTGTTAATAGTTTGATGTCAACCTGGAAAGACATTTGTGCTTGGGTTGATGCTATTTAATATTTTTATCAATGACTTAAAGGCATAGATGGCATCCTCATCAAATTTACAGATGACACAAAGCCAAGGATAGCTAACACATTGGAGGACAGAGTCCAGATCCAAAAAGATCTTTGATGGAACAAAACAATGAGTTAAATAAGATAAAATTTAATGAATATTGATGCAAAATCTTATACTTCAGTTCAAAACGTTGACTTTATTAAGTACAAGATGAGGATAGTATGGCTAGATAGCAGTTCATCTGAAAAATATAACAGTTTCATTGGACTGAAACTTAACATGAGTCAGCAGTGTAAGATGATAGCTGAAAAAGCTAATTCAATCTTGGGCTGCTTTAAGAAGCATAGCTTCAATTTGGAAGTATGCCCAAAGGGCTATAAAAAAGGGTTCATTTTAACAATCTTAGTCATTGCATAAGGTGCCTGTTATTGTGTACAAAGTCCTCTTGGTTCTGCTCACTTCACTCAGCATCAGATCATATAAGTCTTTCCAGGTTTTTCTGAATTCAGCCTGTTCATCATTTCTTACGGCACAACAGTATTCCATCACATTCATGTACCACAACTTTGACCCAGCAATAGCACTTCTAGGGCTGTATCCCAGAGAGATCATACAAATGGGAAAAGGACCTACATGTACAAAAATATTTATAGCAGCTCTTTTTGTGGTGGCAAAGAGTTGGAAATTGAGAGGATGCCCATCAATTGGGGAATGGCTGAGCAAGTTGTGGTATATGAATGTAATGGAATACTATTGCGCTATAAGAAATGATGAACAGGCTGGCTTTAGAAAAACCTGGAAAGACTTGTATCGTCTGATGCTGAGTGAAATGAGCAGAACCAGGAGAATGTTGTACACAGTAACAGCCACATTGTGAGATGACTAACACTGACAGACTTAACCCTTCTCAGCAATACAAGGATCTAAAACATCTCTAAAGGCCTCATGATGGAAAATGCCATCCACATCCAAGGGAAGAACTATGGTGTTTGAATGCAGATCGAAGCATACTATTTGCTATTTTTTTTTCTTCTGCTGTGTTTTGTTTCCTCTTTCTGGTGGTTCCTCCTATTGGTTCTAATTCTTACCTACAACATCACTAATGTGAAAATATGTTTAATAGGAATATATATGTATAGCCTATGTCAGATTGTGTGCTCTCTTGGGGAGGGAGGTGGGAAGGAAGGGGGGAGAAAAATTTAAAACTCACAAGCTTATAGAGGTGATTGTTGATAATTCAAAATAAATTAACTAATAAAAAAAGAGGGGGAAAAAAAAAGCATAGCTTCCAGGAATAGGGAAGCAATAGTCCCTTTGTACTCTGCCCTGGCTAGACAACAGTTGAAATATTTTACTCAGTTTTGGGCATCACATTGAGCAAGAAATTAGCTACAAGGGGGTAAAAAGCTTCCAGTCCATGTTGTATGAAGTACAACTGAAGGAAGTGAGATGTTTAACATTTAATAAATGCTTACTGATTGATTGAGAAGAGGAAGCTCAGTATACTTGAAAGGTTTATCTGTGGAAGATTGAAAAATCATTTGATTAATCAATCAATAAGTGCCTATGTGCCAGGCACTGTGGTAAGCACTGAGGATACAAAGAAAGGTAAAACAACAGTCTGTACTCTTAAGGAGCTCACAATTTAATGCGGGGGAGGAGGACAATGTGCAAATGCCTACATACAAACAAGTGACACACAAGATAAATTGGAAATAATCAACAGAGAGAAGACAATAGAACTAAGACACAAAAACACTTCCTATAGGACGTAGGATTTTAGCTGGAATTTGAAATAGAAGCTAGGAGGCAAAGATGAGGAAGGGGATGATTCCAAAGAAGGGAAAAGGCCTATGACAATGCCCAGAGTCAGTTGATAGAATGTTTTGTTCATGGAACAACAAGGAGGCCAATTTCATTGGACCAAAGACTGTATGAGGTAAAGACATATGGTAAAAGGGGAGAGGGGACCAAGATATGAAGGACTTTGAATGCCAAACAAAGGATTTTATATTTGATCCTGTTGGTGAAAGGGAACCACCAGAGTTTATCGACTAGGACAGTGATGTGGTCAGATCTGTGCTTTAGGAACAGCACTTTGGTGGCTGAATGTAGGATAGACTGGAGTGGGAAGAAACTTGAGGCAGGCAAACCCACCAGCACTCTACTGCCACAGTCCAGGCTGGGGGTGATAAAAGCAGAGTTCATGAACATGGAAGCTGGAACACTTGTGGATAATGGCAAGATCAAGGATATAACCATCTCTGTTTTGTGGTTGTGATCCAGTGGAGTAGGTCATGTGAAATGATTAGTTGAAGAACTATGAGGTTAGGGTGCTTGAGGGAGTACCAATACATATTTTTAAGTCTCCTACTCTGAAGATAGGAGTTGTGCAGGAGAAAAAGATTATGAGCCAGGCAATGAACTCGTTGAAGAAAAAAGGGGCATGTCCTGGAGGTCAGTAAACAACAGCTACCAGAATTTTGATTGGGTAAGGTAAGGGAAATAGGCATTTATATAGCACCTACTATGCTAAGTACTTCACAAATATTATCTCATTTATTCTCATAACAATCCTGTAAGGTAGGTGTTACTATTATCCCCATTTTATACAGTTGAGAAAACTAAAGCAAACAGAGGTTAAGTGACTTGCCCAGCGCCACGCAACTAGTAAATATCTGAGACCACATTTGAACTCAGGCCATCATGACTCCATGGCCAGCATGCTACCCACTTCACAACCTAGCTGGTATACGTGGATTGAGTGAACCTCAGAGGAGAAAAGGTTAAGGAGTAATGATGGTAGAGGAAAAACTCCCAAGTGGCAATGGGGAGAAAGGAGTATTTCAATTATCCCTACCTCAACCAGTGGAAAAGGTTGGACTGAGTGAAACCTGCAACCAGTGCTGGAAAGGGTGTCCAGAAATGCTGTGTCGTCAGGAAGGAATCAAGTCTTAGTAAGAGCCAGAAGATGGAAAAAATGGAAAAGGAAAGGATTTAAGATGGATTAGATATGTTCTGTTTGGCTATAAAAAATGGCAACAGGAACAATGGGTGGAAGTCGAAAAAAAGCAAATTTAGTCTTGACATCAGGAAAAGCATTTTAACAATTAGAGCTATGGTATTCCTTAACTGGAGATCTTCAAGCTGGGGCTGGATGACTACCTGGATATGTTGGACAGGGACTCCGGTTCAGGTACGGATCAGACTTGATGGCCACTGATGTCCGTTCAAAGTCTAAAAATCTATGAAATCCTTACTTGAAGTAGTTTTTTCAAATCTGTGTTCAAATCACAGATGAAAGAGAGAGGCAGCTAGGTGGCACAGAGCATAGAGTGCCTGACTTGGAGTGAGAAAGACCTCAGTTCCAATCCTGCCTCCCACACTTGAAGTCATTTTCCCTGGGCAAGTCACTTTAACCTCTCTCAGCCTCAATTTCCTCATCTGCAAAATAAGAATGCTAGCACCCATTATGCAGGGTTGTGTCGAGGATCAAGTTAAAACAAAATACAAGGAAAGCAGCGCCTATGTAAGTGCTAGCTATTGTTATTAAAAATAACACTGTCAAATGAAGTCTGAACAAAACTGCCCTTTCTCCAATTTTAGAAGAAGGTTCTCATGTACGGCACCCGCTATTCCGTGCTAATCTGCAAGCCTAAAACTTTGAACTGTTACCATAAATAATAAATTAATTCACTTTAAAGTTTTGATTTATCACTTTTTTTTTTAAACGGGAGAGGGGCATTGGAGGTCATGGGTATAATGCATGGAGCAGAAGAGTTGCTGGATTGGAGAAGGCACAAAATGTAGATGGCCCAGAGGTTACTGAATTTTCAGACATTTCACAATGTTACCTAAGATCTGGACACAAGAGAAGTCTTTCCAACCTTTTCTATCCATTCCGGCCCTGCTTCCCCGGTATTTTCGGGCCCTCGGGCGCGCCTGACTCGGGCTGCGACACCTTCAGGCACCGCCCGAGCCCCTTCTCCTTCTCTCTCAATCCCCTCCTCCAAATCCCGTTCCGCTACTTCTTTCTCCTTCTCTCTTCTTTCCTCTTCCTGCCTTCCACTTACTGCTTCTCCTCACCTGAGAACTGAGGCTTCAGACACTGATCGCCAGTAACTGAAAGCGGAAGGAGCTCGTAACCTAGGATCCCAGATCCTTGAACTGCATCATGGGAAGAGTAGTTCGGACTGAAGAAACCATGGAAGGAAAACTACAATTCCCAGAATGCTCCTCTCTCAAGACCTCCGGACCCGACAAAGGCCCTTCTCCTTCTGCCGTCTCCGTCTCACCCTGTAAGGGTCTTTAATTATGATCGTAGCTTTTGGAGATGTTTTCTTGATAGAAAAATTTTTAAAAGCTACCAAGCCAAGAAAGTTCAGAAGATTTAGGTAAAAAAAAGTGCGTCCAGAGTGGGTCGTAGGGGCGGGGAAGAAGGAAACACATTCCGGCATTTTAATCAGGCATTTAGCAGCGCCACCCATACCTGAGGGTCCTTGGCTGGAGCTGTAGGAAACCCCGTGAGTTGGCGGGGCGGTCTCTCTTTCGGATCCGCCATCAACGGGTGAGTGAGTGCATGCCTTGCGCTCCGTGGCGGAGCCTCCCTGCTTCCCACCCGGTGCTTTTGACCATCCCTTTTACCTTTTCTCTCACTTCAGGTGGACCCAGTGCCACGATGCAGATTTTCGTGAAGACTTTGACGGGGAAGACCATCACGCTTGAGGTACGGACCGCCTTGGCCTGAGGGGGTGGGGAGGCCCGGAAGGGGTATGAGGATCTCGAACCTCGTTTTTGTCTTGGGTCCGGGCTCTGAGCCTTGTTCTCGGGCCCGGCGTTTTTTGAGGCTCTTTTTTGATGCCGTGGTCTGCGGTGAGGTCTGAGAGCCAGTCTTTTTCCCCGAGGGCCGAGGTCGGGAGCCCCAGGTCTGGGACTTCGACCTCTCCCGCCGGAACTTGGTTCCCGGGGCCTGGCGCGGGGACCGATCTCTTTTACCCTAGGGACCCTGGGGCTCCGAGCACATGGGACCGGCGGGTTCCGATCTCTAGCCTGAGTGGGGCTGTGGGGGGGCGTTTTTCATGCCCCGGGACCTTGATAACCTGTCCACATACCGGCATAGTTAATGCAGTTCTGGGCTCTACTGGGAGTGGGTGTTTACCTACCCGGAAGACCCGGAGAATTTTAGAAGGGGGTGCCTATTTCCTAGGGGAAGTGGTTTAAACTAGGAAATAATTTTATTTTTAGGTCGAACCGTCTGATACTATTGAAAATGTCAAGGCCAAGATACAAGATAAGGAAGGCAAGTAGTGCACCTTTTTTCCTTCATTTGTTCACCGGTGTTGACCCAGAGACTTAAGTTGTTTCTGGAAGATTGTGTGCAAGGCATCATTTTGCTGTTTAAGGCACTGAGAATACAAAAAGGGAAGAGAAAAAAAAAACAGCCTATGCTTTAAGGGAAGCCAGGAAGTAGAGAATTTGAAAAGGGGTCAAGCTAGTGAAAAAGCCAGAAATGTCCCTTATTCGAGGAATGGTAAAGAGGCCAATGTCACTGGATCAAAGGAGGGTAGAGGGACATGGCACTGGGGAGGTAAGGTGTAAGAGGATAGGAAAATCAGGAAGGGGCCGGGTGGAAAAGAACTTTAAAAGCCAAATTATTTGATCTTGGGGGTAATAAAGGGACTGTGTGAGGGTAGTTAAATCTGGGAGTGATAAAGGAAGACAAGAGTTTTTTTGGGATAAAAGTGATTAAAAGGCTTTTAATTTTTAAGGTGCTTTTTTAAAATATCAAGCAAATTTCTGGGCTTTGTCTTTATTAGGTATTCCCCCTGATCAACAAAGATTGATTTTTGCGGGCAAGCAACTGGAAGATGGTCGAACTTTGTCTGACTACAACATTCAGAAGGTAGAAATTAACAAATACATTCAGTTGACATTTTTTTCTAGCCCTGGAATGCTAAATTGCTGGAAATCTAAGTAATTCAAGTTTGTCAACATAATTGTATCCGTATTTATGCAATGCAGTTAGTGTTCATAAAATGTCAAGAATACTAAAAATGACTTTCTAGTTAAGATCTGGATACTTACTGTTAGTATGCGTGTTCTGTTAAATAGGAATCTACCCTTCATCTTGTTCTGAGGCTTCGTGGTGGTGCCAAGAAGAGAAAGAAGAAGTCTTATACCACTCCCAAAAAGAACAAGCATAAGAGAAAGAAGGTTAAGCTTGCAGTTCTGAAGTACTATAAGGTAAATAAATATTTCCAATTTGAAGTCAGCAAGGAATTGTATTCCTAGGGAGATATATGGTGCTTTTTGGCCAAATGAGTTGTTTCTGCATTTATTTAAAAACTTTAATCCTACTTCATGGGAACTTTTGTCTTTTAGATTGGAAATGCTGTTCGTTGCTCTTGGACATTTATTTTAGCCACAATTTGATAACTGAGTTTCTGAAATGGGAGGCAAAAAAAGAGCTTCACCATAACAGCATGGAATTTCTGAACTTTGAGTGGTATTTGGGGAATTATATAAGTATAATAAGTTAATACGATCTTGTCAAGAGGAATAACAATAAGAAAATTTGAGTAGGTAAATTGAGCATTTTTTAAATGTTAAAAAAGGTTTCTTAAACTTTTTTTCTTCACTTTTGTAGGTTGATGAGAATGGCAAGATTAGCCGCCTTCGACGAGAGTGCCCTTCTGATGAATGTGGTGCTGGGGTCTTTATGGCTAGCCATTTTGACAGACATTATTGTGGCAAGTGTTGTCTAACCTACTGCTTCAACAAGCCAGAAGACAAGTAAATGTATATGTGTTAATAAAAAATAATCAACTATATTTTGAGTCATTAGGTTTATTCCATATTTGCCTGTTAAATGAGTTCCTGATCATCTAAGTCATCCTAAGCATTATGCTTTTGGCTCACAACAGTTTCTTTGCTGCTCTTATGTGTGCTTTACCTTGAAGGGAATCTGGAACATGCTAAGGGTGCTATCACTGAGAAGTTGGTTTATTCTTATTTGAAGGGCCTGTTTTTAATAGGACCGTTTTAGTGCCATATGAACATTCTCATAAAGTGGGCTTTCTTAAGATATCCTGTTAAATTTATGTGAAGATTTTTACTGTGTAGCAATAGCCAGACTTTAGCCTATGGTATTCATAATTTTAAAGAAGCCTGTCAGATTCCTGACAGGTAGAATTTCTGTACATGGCCAATGCTTGTTTTGCTTGACTGCATATTTGTTTAAAAGGGCTTTGCTTTTCCAGAGGGAGGAAAATAAATTTGCAACAGCCCTATAGGTATGCCACCTGAGCTTCAAATCTGTTAGCTACATTTCAGTTTCTCAGGATTCAGTGATCTACTTACTTTGAACTCTTGAAACTTTTGCTGTATTGAAAGGGTCAGTTTAATAGCTAATTTCTGAACCTTCGTTTTATATGCAATGGGGCAAGCTTTTGCTATCTAGATGAAAAATGCTTTGGAAGATTATATTAGTGGGAGGAAAGGCTCTGGGTGTACAATGAATTTATTTTCCTTATATGCCAGGCTATGGTAAAGATGTTGAATCTAATAATACTTTTTCAAAGCGTGAATAATATGGATGTAGCACATTAATTGCACTTCTCTTGTCACTTAAGCTGTCTGAGAGGTACCAGAAATAAGCAATTCATATGATAGCACATGAACACTCATATTGTCTCAAAGACCATGTCAATTCTGAAGCAGTGAGGTGTGGTATGAAGTAATCAAGAGAAGTGGTTCTTGTTCTGCATCCTTTTTAAATGACTTGTCCCAGAGCTAACTTACTCTGGGGACTGTGTAAAATAAGAGGAGGCTTGGACTGTTGTTTTTGAGTTGTGTGCAGACTCTGATGACCCCATTTTGGGTTTTATTGGCAAAGATACTGCAGTGGTTTGCCATTTCCTTTTCTAGCTCATTTTTACAGATTGAGGAACTAAGGCCAACAAGCTTAAGTGACTTGCCCAGGGTCACACAGCTAATAAGAATCTGAGGCCAGATTGGAACTTGGGAAGATAAGTCTTCCTGACTCAAGGCTTAGGGCTCTATTCACTGCATTACTTAGTCATTTCTAATGTCCTTTCATATAACTTTTATATATAAAAGCTATCCTAGTAGCTTTAAACTGTACTAAGAAATCATGTATTTTCAAAGCTTCTTCACCTCTTTTCCCTCCCTTAAATAAGACACAGTTGATCTTAGAGTCCAGAAGATCTGAGTAAGAGCCCTGTCTGACACAGACTTGTACGACCCTGGCCAATGACCTTAACCTCTCAGTACTTCAAGCCACTCAAAGGTGCCTGAGCCACAAACCCAGTCAAGAACACAAGTAACAGCAACTAACTAGAAGAAAGATTGACTGACTTTTAACCAAAGAACAGTTTCCACAGCGCCCTTTATAAAATTGTACTTCCCTTCCAGTGTATATAGTGTCCTTAAAATTTTACATGAAAGATTAAGGCAATGAGAAATTTAGACAATAGTCTGGGCTTAGTCAAATTTTTTTCACTGAACTGGCTCTTGGCACAATAGAAGATTTGAAAGTATCCAACAAATGACGATAAAACAGCAAACATAGCTACAAACTACTTACACAGTAATTTACAGCACTTTTTTTTCCAAAAGCATTAAAGTAAAATATACATAAAGGTGCTCTATGATAAATAAAGCAAAGTATGAATACATTCAGTTACATTTTTTTTAATGTAACAATTCAAAATCCTGGATCCCAAGAAGTCTTCTGTAAAACTTCTTTCTCTTCAAAGCAAATAATTTCATCTCCAGTCTTAAACTCAATTTTTGTTTCATCCAAACTTAGACCACAATCCATTCCAGTTTTTATGACTGAAACATCATCTTTATGATGCTTGAGTGAAGTTAACAATCCTAGAAGATAAAACATACTAGCCATTAGGTAGATTTAACAGTATATGCAAGAAATCATCTTTGAAACCAGAATTTCAGACTTAAGTCTAGTCCCTATGTGAATCATGAATGTTTCTCACCCTATCTCCAATTCTGGGTCCCACTTGACTTTGACGGAAAGGGAACTTCTTATTTTCCAAGGTAGCCCATCTGTCTCACTCAATGATTAGCAAATTTTTGCTTACATTAAGCTTAATTATGCTGCTTTGCCCAGAGCTTCTAAGGCTAAATAGAACAAGCCTAATTCCTCTTCAACAAGATTGTTAAGATTGTCAGCAAATCAATAGTCATTATATGCCAGACACAGCTCAACACTGAGGATATACAAAAAGGCAAAGCAATTCACAATCTAACTGAGGAGACAACATGCAAACAATTACAAACTTAAGAAAAACAAGATAAGGCCAGAGGGAAGGCATTGAGATTAAGGTTTGGGTAATACTTTTAGACAGTAATCAAAGGTATCATTTCTCCATAATTTTTTTCTAGGCTTAAT